TGGGGGGGGGTGTTAAAAAATAAATTGCAAGCAAACGGCAGCAAGGAAAAAAAAAATCACTGGTTAGGCTCTTCCATTTAAAATGTTTGCCCCCCTATTAAAACTAACTTAGCTATAGCGATGTTTTCGTTCTTGTTTTTATGTTCCGATTGGTGATTCTGATGTCAAAGTATAGAGTTTCACCTGACACACTAAAAACACTTATTTCATTCGTTGATTTAAAAAAAATGCACCTGCGATGGAATACTATCAAACGCCGGTAGTGTATGATCTTATCACGGTGTACACATCGTGTTACAACCTCCACACAGAAAAACTCCGTCTGCAGATAATGGACGGCTAGTTTATTCAATATGTTTTGCCCAAATTTGTCGAAATATATCGCGGGTATTTTATTTTTACATCGATGTAGACCTTATATCCGCATATCCGAAGTTCCATTTCAATTGGACATTCCATTTGTTAATGAAGCTTTCTGAAAGTCAGCGATGTGTGTTGATACTGTCGGTAGCCGCTGATCGCTGACACACCGCAGTTAATGATTTCCAATCACGTGCATGTGTGTGGGCGTTCACGCAGAGAGTACGCAATGAGTTACCCCGTCCAACGCCGGTAACAGACCACACCTCATTAAATCCCTATATGTGAGCAGTTACTTGTCCAATCATGTCAGTTCAAATAAATATTGTACTTTATGGACTAGGTTGAACAAAAATCACGATAACCTTCGAAAAAGCGCGAAAGTTCCATGATGATTAAAGCGCTACTTTCGTCGCGCTGCACGCGTTCGAATTCCGCTCAAATTCCGCGCGTTGTTTGCGTCGCGCGGGGCCCATAGCGAATTTGTACGCGGCGCGTTGACTGTTACGCTTTATTTCAGAATCTCCTAGTCCTACTCTTGTATATTGGGAATGTTTGCAAAACTCTGTAATAGAGACATCGCTCGTCACAGCAGGACTATAAATACCCCATCAAGCGTGACCAACCACTCGGCGTACTTGATATGGAGAATGTAGAACATAATACTTTGGCATTTGTTTAAGGGACGTTTTCTTATTGAGTGGAAATAGATTTGATACCCGATAAAAATTGGCCATCATGTTTCAGCAATTTGAATGTCAAGGTCAACCTTTTACAAAATAAGAACGCATATTTTATTTTCATGCATTTTCAAAAAAAAAAATATTACGTTCTGTAGGCAATAGAAAAGTATATCAACTAGGTCAGAAAATAGTAAATACATTTCTAAATCGTCTCATTTTATTGTACTCTGGGAGATTTGTCTTTCATAGTGAAAAGCAGAAAGCTGTTTATAAACATATTTATAGCAATTTGTTAATATCGATCATCAACATTTATTCAAATTCAAATATGTAATAATCATCGACCCGAGTGCTCCACATCTACGCCCACAACGCATGCGCAAACCTTCAAGGCGCATAGCAACAGCTACCACCATTTATTCATAACGAAGAGCTTGTTGATTGGATAACATTGAATTGACTCATGAATATTCATTATAACGGCACGAAATTTTGCATGGGGCGGGAAGAGATCTGCTCACCACTAAAAAGTCCGGGGCATGCTCACCCTTAAAAAATTTGAAATCTAGACCCTCTGAAACGCTATTTCCTGCATTTTGAGGGGAAATTTTGCTGACACAAGGGGTTTCAGCTTGATTTTGGAGGGGCGACGCCCCAACATTTTTTTCTCTGTTTAACGCGTCCGCACCCACTTTCATGAGGTAGAAAGCGAAATGACCATACTCAAGTTTATTCGATTTTGTTTCCTGAAAACATTTAGATTTTCTATTGTTTTGCGCAGAGATTCGAGTAGTTATACTTGTAAGTTATTTTAAATAAAGCATAGCGACAATTGAGATTGTGTAGATTTGTGGGTTTTAGCTGAGGGTAACGTAATATTTCTTGTCTGAATACGTTATCAAATTCGCCATCTTGTTTGTATTGGTTTGTAGCTACTAGTAATTCAACTTTATAATTCGGCGGCCATTGTTGGCTGATTCGTAAGCCTCTATACGATAGCGTACGATTCGTCGCCGGTGCGTTCCATCAATTAGTAATTGAATAAATGTGAATATCGTCTCCTCAGAATACTGTTCCATTCCTTAATGTCATCGCGTCTACTGTTTCCCTGGCCATGGAAAAAAACCAAGTCTCGTGCGTCTCTAACTCTCAACGATATCCTGGCGGTCATTCACTAATACGGTTTACTACAGCACAGAATTGTCTAACCGTGAGATTAGGTAACCGAGGCAAAAGAAAAATTCAATTACTGCGAGATTAAAGCGGGAGAGTCGTCACTTGCGC